CTGACGTACCGTAAGCCGTGTGCATGCATAAATGGCTTTGTACGTTTGACTGGTCGACGACGTCTTGGTTTCTCACCGGTTGATCGTTTTCCGAGCTTGGTTAAGAGATAGCATACGTTTCACCACCATGCGAGGTGGCATCTTCAGTGCAGTAATAGGCAGTGTATAATGCTGCTTAATGAATTGTCAGTCCGTCATCCACGGCCAGGTGACTTTTGAAGGTGGCGATTTCGATTAGCGCCGCGTGATCTCTGCCCATTTGTTTCCACGGCTGAACCACGTCTTGCGATTTGCCGGAGATCTTTCTTTCTGAGTTGATGGTACACGGCGTCGATGTCGATGCGCATGTTGATCGAATTATTAGAGGAGTACCATGCTTCTAGGAACTCTCTTCCTTTCTGTGTTGTTGTTTGAGCTAAAATCACTGTTTGGTTCCAATTGAAGCTATGTCCCTCCTCAACGACATGCGTTGAGACAAGAGACGATGCATAATGCTTTTTACAAGCCCTCTGATGTTCATGTATTTTTGTGGATAATTTCCTTCCTGTCTGCCCCACATAGTTCATTTCACAATTATTGCAATGTATGTTATACACGACGTTGTTTGTCCTTGTGCATTCCTAATGTCTTTTGGGTTTGATAGTATTCTTCTCAGAGTAGCGGTTGGCTTATGAGCGACCACGATGTTGTATTGTTTGAGCAATCTGGCAGTCATTTCAATTTTGTTCTTCCTATATGGAAAAATGACCCTCTTGCTTGCATTTGGTATCGGCTCAGTATTCATAAGTTTATGGTTTAGACATCTGCGGATGAAGCTGCGTGGATAGCCATTGCGCTCGAACGAATCGAATAGGTGTTTTTCTTCTTCCCGTTTGGCTTCCACTGTACTGCAGTGTGTTTCAGTCCTGCGAAATAGTGTCCGCACGCAAATTATTTTGTGGCACTTTAGGTGATTGCTATAGAAGTTCAAAATTTGATCCGTATGTGTCCTTTTCCTGTGAACGGATGTTTGAAATTCACCATCGTTTGTTCCGGTCCCCAACACATCCAAGGATGCGAGCATGTTTACTTCCTTTAACTCCATTGTAAACTGAATCCCATCCACTGCATTGTCTAGGTTCGGAAAATATAAAATGGAGAGAGTTACTGGCATCAGTGAGTAGGTTGCACGCCAGTTTTGCGCAGGAGCAAACATGATTGGTCACAATTATTTCAATAAAAACTGGCGCGGGAATCATGCTGCATCGATCAAGGTAATTTAGCGACCAGTTGATCATTTGCAATTGCCCGTTCGAGTCCAGCAAATATCACATATGAGCAATACGTCCAGTGCGATATTATTCAAACGGTGACAAACCTCGAAAACATGTAGGGAGGCACGGATGAACATCTAAGTCGGGAGACGCAGAAAGTTAGTCTCCTGACGTTCGTGATTCATTCACGTAATGCAACCATGTGACATCCCTACTTAGTGTTACTCCGATGTATTTCACTAATGCAAAAGTGTTTAGACAGACAGTCAATACTAACATGTGGGGTGTGCTTCAGCGCTTGCTAACAGTGTTCCTGGAACGCCAGAAAAATAACCTCTGTACACTTTGATGAGTTGAGTGAAATAAAACGGGATATGGACCAGGAGGTGAGGTTGTCCAGAGAGCGCTGTAAGTTGTCCGATGAATCTGTGGTGTTACTGTGTTAATGGGGACAACATAGCTCCTAGGAGAACACCTGAATTTGTGGTGAGCAAGAAATATATTTTCCCCCAATCCTGGTAAACTGTGTACCATTGACAAACCAGACTGCAAGAAAAAGTATTATTGATGGTTGAACTCCGTAACCTAGCAGACGGTGTAATAGCAGCTCGAAATTTACCCAATCTAAAGCAGATCTGTTTGGGTTTGTTTTTACTCTCGAGTGATGAAAACACAGAGTGTACAAGACAGGCTAATGTAGCTAAAGTAGACCACAGACTGCAATAGGTGAACTGAAAAGGATCATTCTAGTAGGTTTGGACAAGCATCTTCGCAAGTATGATTCGTTCTCATATCTTCGAAGCCATAGACTTAGAAACAATTGGCCGGTACTTACAGGTTCCTTTTTTGGTACAAGTGTAATATGGGCGTTTCGCGAGCAGTCAGGTATCTTGTGTTGATGTAAGCACATGGTGTTCATTTCAGAAAATGGCTGTAATAAGACATTAATACATTCTTTGAGTATCGTAGACGATAGTACTTCCGGACCGGGCGATTTGTACGACAGTATCCGTGTTAACTTCTTGTGCACTGTTGCACCATCTGTGAGTAGTGAAGGTTGTGTGGAGAACTGCAAAGGTGAAGATGGTAAATGCAATGTTGAATCATTTAGATGACCACAGAATTTACGGTTTACCTCCTCCACATCGAGAACAGTGTGTTCGACACTTCTGGCGACTCCACTCAGGTTCTTCATCATGTTCTATATTTCTCGACACGTATTATTTCGATGTATAGTTTGAACATAAATATACTTGAAACGGTACATTTCAATTTTTAAGTTAGTCGTTTAAGACTTTACTGAAGCGACATCTTTGCCCTTGTAGGCATTTTCTTTGCATCTGCGTAGTCTTTTAAGAAACTGCGCTGAAAAGCTATCTGCGCGAAAGAACATGGTTTCCACAGGACAAGAAATACTGACGCGAAAGCTAAAGTAGCTAGTTAAATCATCACACTACTTAGAAATATGGGTTGTACGATGTATAGAAGTCTGTAGAAGCAATAGATTCGCCTAGTAGCTCAATATTTCAGGGAAGACACTGTCTTTGCGTTAACTTACGATATCTGCAGCCAATAACATTTTCATAATTCCTTTTGCAATAGATTATCGGAAACAACCCTATGGTGGCATGATCTGAGCTCCCAAGCGGTGCGTTGATACAAATAGAAAAGGTTTTTAAGTCGTTGACAAACACTAAGTCTAGGGCTGCTTGTAACCTTGTTGCAGACTGCACAATGTTCTTCAGTCCAAGGCTGGTAATAGAACTGGTAATAGAACTTGCGTTCAATCTATTGGATTCACCGGCAAAACCACAAAGAAATATCTAGATGTTCAATGACGGTAAAATCGTCATGAAAGTTTTCAGCGTCAGCTTTGGGACAGCTGGGATAAACATAGATGTTGGTTAAAAGAATCGAACAATAGCCGCTCAAGTATCGAGGCCAGCATTTCATAATTAACCAGCTAATGCGTTGCGCATAATGACGAAAAACCATTTTTGTCGACGTGCACCATGAAGCTTTTATGTAGGTGCTAACGACACCGTCACGGTTCCATTGTGTACCTGGGCGGTCTACGCGATGCACTGTAAATCCGTCAAGTGCCATAAGGTATCTTCTGCATTGTCATGTAGCTTCGTTTCTTGTAGCACAATAACACCAAGTTGGGAGTATTCGGGACAGCTTGTTATACTTTTAAGGTCTTCTAATTTGCTCGCAAATGAACGCGTGTTGGCACTGATCAAATCAGGTGTACTCATGCGGCTGAGATTTTCCTTCAAAGTGCAAACCCGCCCTCCAGCACAGTGCTTTCTTATGGAACTACCTTTTCGTCTGAACATTTTCCCTTTGTTCCGTATAGACTGACTATAGAAAAGTGCTAGGTTCACGTTCGTGTAAACGCACAGATTTTTTTAAATGTCGCGTGCGTTATTAATCATAACGCGATTGGTACGATGAAAACCGATGAATTAAAACAAGGCGGTAATGAAATAGTGAATGTTAGCGTGCACATTGATAAATCCAGAGGACGGGAATCAAACGTACGGCCGAATTTGAAGACCGCACCGATAGTCTCAGCCGAACAGTCACCATACATCCGAGAAATCGCTTAGCGGTCGTCTTCTTTCTACTGAAGTTTGTCAGTAACCAGCATCCGCCGGATTTTGATGCATTCAAACGCATGACCTTAATTCGCTAGAAAGTTACTTAAGCCGTTGAGCCATGGGTGGTGGTGGTAGGTACTTGTGACTGATTTCGAGCTTAGTAGAGCGCGGATCATTCATCACTGTCGTGCATGTCCACCAAGTGCAGAGAACATGACTGCCCCCCTCAGTCTGCAGTACAGTACACCACAGCCCTTCATTACCACCTAGTAATTGGTAACAGCTTCAACAGCCTAAATGCCCCTCAACTGGTGGCGGCTTGCAAAGGTAGTCTCAGCTATCTAAGGTTTGCAAAATCAAAGTTATGCTCGTTGGTGAGACAAGAACCATATATCTTTAAGTTTTCACGGAATAAAGTTGAAATACGTTTATACCAGAGTACTCGTGATAAATTGATCAGCTCTTCGTTGACCATGGTCACTGAGGCTAAGCAAACAAGTGGACAATGTCTTACTTTTGAATTCGCATAGCAGCCCTGTTAGCTTGTTGTACACCGGTGCAGTGTGATCCTACTCACCTCCACGATCGTCAGAAAATAAAAGACAAATAGATTAACCTGGTGGTCAGTGTTCGATTAGCTCGACAGTCCTCTTGGAAACGTCGCATTACCATCTGAGGTGATCTCATCAGCGTACTGTTGGGTAGCGGAGCGGGGCATATGATGTGAAGCGTCATTCAGTATGCACCGGGTACTCATGCGTGCGATCGATCATCTGGGCGGACGAGAATTCAGTCTGAGTTGGGCTTGTTGCATAGGCACACACGCATCAAATTGATCTTCGATTCGTACGTAGTAACGTTAACCCACTCACCGCTGTGATTGACGATGTCCTCCGAGTTGCCTGTCAAGTGGGCTCCAAGGCACAGCCACGCAACCGTCCGGCGCAGGTGTCTGTCAGTCGCAACCCTCATGAGCGCACCGTTCGTACCCTAAATTCTGCTCATTAAACGCAAGTTACTTACCCAACAAGAAAGTATATAAATCTGCGCAATTGGAAACGTTCTTAGATTTACCATGAATTTTCTATTTGGTGACTTTTTGGAGGCTACTGGCACCTGGTTAATTATTTGTAATATCTTTCAGTCCAAAAGTCCAGAATTCGAAGCCTATATTCGCCCAGTACGACAACTGATAGTAGAAGGTTCGGATCGATCTACGGATGAAGTCACCGGTGATACAGGCCCATTATGTTGTCCCTTTACCCAATCTGTGATTGTTGTTCCTCTGACGGAAGAGTGCAGAATAGCCACTGGACTGACGGATGCAATGCTGGCGGATGCCGGTACGTTAGAAGATGCCCTTGAACAGGTGAGTTAACGTACTTCCCGTATCTTAAGTCCGATGACAAAATTGAACTAACATGCCAGACTCAGCGCTGTCATGCAAACCGTGTGAAGCACGGCTTTCAAAGGGCAATCGAGTTCAAATGAATTACTATTCAGGCTACTAGCGTCAACAGTCCTAGCTCTCATCCATTACTCTTGCCGGGCCTGAAGAAGCGCGCGTGTTAAAAGAAAAATTTAACCCTAATTCATATCTAGGAAAAATGCCATGTGTTCTAAATGCTTCTGAAAGTAAAAAAGGAAAGCTTTACCTGAAGAAGACAAGTTTTCTGCAAAAATACTACCTCTACTGGAAGTACTGCTTTTAGTGTTAACGCTAGTTGTAAAGTTCTAGTAAGCCTTTTTGCGTTACGCGACGACTCTGCTTACTTGCAAATTAAGGTACATGTTTAACATAAGTAATTTTAGCAACCGCTCTGATTCAGCAAAAACAGATTTTTAGTCTGATCTATAAGTAAGATTAGCATTTCAAGTTACCCTTGTGGAGCTCTTGATAGTTGCGCTTTGAAACAATCTTCAGTCAAACCCATGCAATTCTGATTGTATCTGGACTCGGAAGTTTGTGGCAATCGACCTGGAATTGTGCAGCGTCATTAAACTGACAGTTTCAAACCTGACGGGAACCGTATAGTCCCCATGTTTGTGGCTTAGTTTCGGTTGAACCGGTTGCCAGTATTAACATCCTCATTATCACCATAGTAAAAGCCTAAGTTTACTAATGAGCACGTGACAAACAGTGCTGACTGCACTGACATGAAGAAACCCTAGCGAGAGGTGAACAGGCGCTCGCTCGGTCGCTACTGGAGCCTGGTATCTGTTGCTGCTGTTGTTGTTGTTGTTGTTGTTGTTGCTGCTGCTGCTGCTGCTGCTGCTGCTGCTGCTGCTGCTGCTGCTGCTGCTGCTGCTGCTGCTGCTGCTGCTGCTGCTGCTGCTGCTGCTGCTGCTGCTGCTGCTGCTGCTGCTGCTGCTGCTGCTGCTGCTGCTGCTGCTGCTGCTGCTGCTGCTGCTGCTGCTGCTGCTGCTGCTGCTGCTGCTGCTGCTGCTGCTGCTGCTGCTGCTGCTGCTGCTGCTGCAGTTTTCTGTGCGCATGGGCAGAGTCCAACTGATACCAGACGTTGGTGCGTCGACATTTGTGGTGTGGATGTCATAACGCATGCAGGCTGCATCATATACAAATGATTAAAATTGGTATCTTTCTCTTTACAGGAGAAGCTGAGTCCATATTTGACGCATATCAAATGTGGACATGTAGTACCATGCTCTTGAATGGGCAATATAAATTTGTGGTAAATAGAAAATAGTGGTATATCTCTCGTCATTTCGAGTTGCGGTCTAACTGGATGTTTCGATCCTTAATGTACGGCAAAATCGCAATGAGCTGATGTTATATTTCTCGTGTTTTCCAAAGCAGTCCTCAATCTTTATAGAGGATATGGCTACGTGTTCGGTTAAACATTTCAGGAGGATTGTGAGATTTAAAAAGAAACCATGTGTAGATAAATAACTTATGTACGTGAAGTAATGCGGCCATTACTTTGACCGCCTCCTGCTGTTTGACTGTCAGTTCTCCGTCGCGAATGCAGAGTCTTACATGGAAGACTTACTTATCATCATTGTTTACCAAATATGGCTAAGGTTTTATTTATCAACCATTGCACTTATATATCAGGTTTGAACAATGGAACAGTAATTTTATACGGGTACAAAAGGCAAGCCATAACAACTCCCGTAGGATGATCATAATTTATGTGGAGGAATTTGGAAAATTTGTCAGCAAAACAGCCTCACACTGGTGGAATCACTGAAGTATAGTTATCAAGAACTGCAAATCGACGGTAAATCCATAAGTAGAGACGACAAAAGGGACGATAGTGAACATTGTACCGCCTCCGTAGGAACATACAGAAGAGGCGAAGTTGATGTAACGTATTCTGGTATTTGACGGTAAGTGAACTCTTTAAGACTCTCGTGTTTAACCATGGGCAATGGAGCCATGTGAAGTGCTGAAGAGCAATGAGGGCACTGTTGACTCAGATTCTGAAATCCACCAGCTTGTTAGTCCAGATGATACCTTCCTGTGTGTCAATCCACGCTTGAAACGCGTACGGAAGAGAAATGTCGATGGCATTCCAAAAGGCTGTACTGCTCATCCAGCCTGAGATGATGGCCTCTAAAATTACTGTTTTGATTAAGCTCTAGCAAATGGTGGCACGTTTGTTTGGGATCTTGCTTAAATTTTTAAGTCTTAATATGGTCCTCACGTAATCGCCGGTAGTGTCTGCCAAAGACTCCGAGCATTCGAAACCTTCCTTCGTACTGCAAAGTATAGAAACATGTGACCTTCTTGGTTATCGCAAGGCAGGGAGATCCCTCCTCAGCCATGGCTTCCAGACCTGTATTCCGTATTCCACATGTGAACGTAAGTATTGGCCGAAAAGCCGTTGAACTATTGAGCTCCATGCTACCGCCGCTAGCGACTTTAAATGTATGTTATCAACTCCAGTAGAGCTGTATTTGCGCATACTAAACACCATTTTAATACGGTTTATACCGTGAAGTATATGTTAGTATTTTTGGGGTGTGACTACCCTCATCAAAATGTTAGGTGGCCATCGATCACACTGAAACGTTGCAGCGTATTGTAGATGGAAGGTATTCACTGCCTTTTTCTGTGTCCTTGTGGGTCCGCCCGCTGTTTGAAAAGGAGGCATTCCCAGTTTCACCTTGGGTAGATTGTTGACGTGTTGATACCGAAGCTTGTGGTTTGATGCCATACGTCCTGGCAACGTCTGCTGATAAGTCATTCTATCCTCGCGAACAAACTGACTACAGTGTGACTTTGGGTCGTGTAGGCCATCCAGTTCTCGGTGCTCGGGCAGTGGTTGCAGATATGCCAGGCTGAGTTTCACACTGCTATACACTTGCGTGTTATGCTTCGCAGATAGGTGACCCGGTTTCTTGGGTTGGAGGTCTTAGTCGCTGATGTTTCGGCAACCAGAATGTTAGACTGACTGAAAAGATGTTCCCATGCGCTAAGGGGAGGCTTATCTCTCAGAAAGTTCCAGTTGTTTGTCCCACCCAGTCAGGCTCAAATGTCTTAGCGTATAATCCTCCAGGTTGCGTTGGCAGTTTCCACGAGATATTCTGCATAACAGATATACTCGAAGAGTACGTCTGTATGTCTGGTCGCTGCGGCCCATTGAAATATTGACGGTCACACTCTCGATCATCAGTTCCTCGTTTTTGGAAATTCGATCCAGTATAGACGACTTATCTGTTTCTCGGTATCTGGTAGTAGTGTTGATGTGGCCACACAGCGGGAAACGGAAGACAACCTCTTGTAGTTCAGACTTGGACTTTTCTCCGGCGGTTGCTTGGGTTTCCAGTGCGCAGTTGTTGAAATCGCCCATAGTAAGAACGCGGATCTACTTTTTATCGACTGCCTTAGTACGAATGCTAGATAGAAGTCCTTCTCGGAAGTAGAGAAGCGAGGGCTGTAAACAACTGCCAACAAACAGGCGTCGTCGCTTTTTAAACGTAGACGGTATTAACTGGAATTCTATACTTTTTCAGCTGACCATCTGCGGATTCACACTGGTTTTCACCTTGTAGGTACATAGCTACCCAACCCGGTTTACTGGGTCGATAATGTAGAATAACTGACTGCTCTGGCACTGCAGTCTCGAGGTCATTTATGTCGAGAAGTAACCATGCCCCCGTTTTGGTGATCAGGTGGCAGACTTATGATCCTCGACGAATTTGCAATTCAGAACCTTTATTACATGGGCGTACAGCATCAGTGTATGTAAGGAAAGCTACTCAGATGTCAGAAGCTCTTGATAATGAGCATGTAATTTCGAGTTTTGTGCCCACCGATGAGAGGTCGACACCAAATTGCTTTTTGAGTGATTTTCCAAATCTCTATATAAATGCAATGAGTTTTTGGTCTCACCTTCACAGGCGATATATAGTCCGTCGGTACCTTTCTTGATAGCTACCGGTCTGTGTACACAGTTTCTAAATCGCTGTTGTGGTTTTAGTGAGTCGCCCGTAATGTTATTTCCGCGAGGATAGCGAGTGGCGGCGATACTCTGAATGTTGTCTTCATTCGTAATTCCGAAGCAAGTGTTTCTTGTCGCAACTACCCGCTTCGGATTACGTTCCCCGTCATCTGATGTGGCTGGACAATTAATTTCAGTATCTCGACCTCACTGCTTTTGGATTGAGGCGATACGGGTAACTGTATGGTCGACCGAAGAAAAAGTGCACCAGCACAGATTTACGGATATACCGCCGTTCCTCCAGTTTATGATGACGGGATTCTTCGTTCCTGGTTTTCGGTAGACCTGACACGCCATGTACGACAATGATTAGTCTGCTACTCATGGTTTAGTGTTAGTTTACTTTCCTGTTATTCCTCTGGTGTTCGCTGCATGTAACATTTGGAAATATGGTTTTCTTAATGTCTCCAGTCCGCATGCGGCCTGCCGACAGAAGCACCGTCTCGACAGTATCAGTGGATCCAAATGTTACTTGCATTAGGCGAGACGGTCCACAGTGCATCGAGGTTGGATACCCACGGATGCGCATTAAATTAGTTGGCCTGACCTGAACTCCGATTCTACAACAATGCGAATTCCTCTGCTTTCAACCATCCTTTTCTTTGCCACCTAGGAGTTTGCCTTGGGCTCAGGAGCGTCGGTGTATATAAATGTCAAGACGTCGTATTTCCGCCTTGTCTTCGGTGATGGGGAAAGCAAGGCTATTGAGTGCTTTGGTGACGTCTCTGCACGTTGCGCCTGGTCCTTGACCCGTGTTTTGGTGCTAAAAGGGGTCATGACTGAAGTCGGATTCTGAGCAGCGACGATTGCTTATTTGGATCGATCTTTAGAGAGGTTTGAAATCTTCACGGTTTTAGAAGCGTAGGCATGTTACGATCGTTCGCGACGACGAAATAGTTCGTCTTTTCTTAGGTTTCTAACACTGCCTCGCCGTGGGAACATCTGCTCATTTTTCTTGATTTCGGAGTTGCAGTTGGGGAGACGGATGAGGTGCAAGCTGTGCTATTTTCGCATCTCTCGAAGCATTTCTCGCATTTAAATGATGTTCACTTTTGGCGACTTGACTGTAGTACTGCTGTGCTAATTCTAGCACACCATCTTACAAGTAGAACCGTCATACACTTAGGATAGAACCGTAAAGAGCCCGACGTACTGTTGTGTTTCTTTATTTCGGTTCGATGAACTGCGCACTTCAGACGTTAACAGCCAGTACAATGGGAACATGTCGACCTCATCTTTCCTGCCTTAGCATCTTTTGCCTAGCTCAAAATACTCTTATTCGTGTTACTGATGTGGCCATAATGGCCAATATCGATTTACATCCCGTGAACTCTACTCACTTTCCCCATGGCTATAGTCGGCGCCCGAGTTGTTCTGCCTTAAACCGCGTGACAAAATGTTCTTTGTTTCTTACTGTCGTAGTGGTTCCTATATTGAATCGATGTCCATGCTTGGTTCTCAACGAGACACTCAATCAACATGCGCGTGGACATCGATTCCGTTTACTAACCACTACGACAGAAAGAAATAAAGAACATTTTGTCACGCGGTTAAAGGCAGAACAACTCGGGAGCGGACTTTAGCTTTAGGGAAAGTGGGTAGAGATCGAGGGACGTAAATCGACACTGCCACTTTCAAAAGTAACCTGCAAGTCGATCACGGATGGAGGATTCATTTAGTAAGATTACACGCCACATATCACTGCACTAAAGATGCCACCTCGCATGGTGGTGAAAGGTTTGCCACAAAACCGCCAAGCTCGGAGAACAAATGAACAATTGATTCATCAAACCGAGCTACCAGTATTTCGAGACATGTGCGACAGTGTCAAGTGAAAAATTCGAAAACACTTAGTGCACGATATGGAGCGGCTTGACTATCTGTGTTCCGTCTCGACCTCGGTTTTAACTGACTGCTAGGTTTAGGTTAGGAAAGCTAAAAAATTACCCATTTGAATAGCAAATTATTTAAGGTGCGTACTATTGTGTAAAACCGTGCCAATTTTTAGTTGAGAAAGTTTGTCGAGATGCCTTTGAAGTCATTACCTTTTACGCACTCTAATTACCATAGACAACGCAAGTAATGCTGAAATAAATAGACAGCTATGAACATAGGCAATTTACGGACGGTGTAACAGTGCCGTTCTACCAGTTCCTTCGGTAAATCAGAAAGTATACAAAATCATGCTAAAGCACATGCTTTTGTTTTTAACATATTACAAATGCTCAACTGAAGTAATAATGCTAAATTGTTTACTGATCTTCGTAATCGTAATCAGTTTGACAGGTGGCTCCATGTTCAAGGACTTTCAAATGACGATATCGCTACCTTCAATGCTAAATTAACGGGTATGCCACTCAAATATGCCGACAAGCAGAGACGTGGAGAGACTACGGAATTAGCAACCACCGGGTCAGGTTCCCAGTGTCCCCACACACTGTCAACGACCCGGTCGTGTTTCTCCAAAATATCCGGATATACGCAACCAATGGTACTTCTGACGGACGGTCCAACAGATTTACGTCTCCTACTTCATCCGGAAGCCACAGTACAATCAGTCGATCTGACCCGATTCCCCTACCTTTATCACTACATCGATGTGAAGAAGGAATATAAGCGAATTTTTCAAAAAGGCAGTGGATCAACCTCTATAACTGAAATGCTAACATGTAAGTTTGTTTTACACATGAAGTTGTGGTAGGCATTTTGCTATGCTGAACGATTCATGACACAACATTTTCGTTACTTTTGTTCGTCGCAGTCAGCCGACAACTCAGCTAAGTCAACTACCTATCCGGAAAAGCACCAGACGGCCGTTTCGCTCTATTGGGGCTCTTCAGTGGTGCGCATCCTTCGGTCCTCCACCGGGGATCGAACCCATGACTGCTAGTGGTTTGTGCCAACTAGCCCGCAGCTTATGCAACTGCGCCATGGAGGGCGGTAGCCGACCATCACGAATTGCTAGCTAACTATGATATAGCCCGACCCATCCTCCACTGCCATGCAGGCACCTGCCATGCAGATGACAGCGGTTGGCCTTCCGGTGTCAGGACTTCCCGGTTACGGCAGCTATGAATCGACATAGCATTTTTGGAATCTGTAAGGGCGAATTTGTATTACTTAATAGTAGAAGAATTTTCGTGAGTATTTTTCTTCGTCGCAGTCAGCCGACAATTCGGCTAAGTCAGCTACCTATCCGGAAAAGCACCGTCTGTTTTATTGATTGAAAACAGTATAGATCAAATAATAAACTACGCCGAAACTATTTTTACCATGAATAAGACAGGTTCCCGGGGACTTCTATCAGCCGTGCTAGGTTACAATATTTTAAATACGTCAGTCCAGAAATGTAGAAGGTTTTGAGCACTGAATCAGGAGAAATGCTTCAAATTCGTAGTGGAGTATCTATGCAGACAATACACGACATTTTACTGGCGTAACTATTTCAAAGTTCTGAGAAACCTTATCCCATTGACGGAATCATGGTTGTATTTTCAAACTATCTTAGCAGCAATTTAGCCGTATAGAAGTGAAACAGCCGCTAATGCAACTAGCGTAGCATTTGCTTGTTTAGTTAGAAAGTAGATAAAGTGCTTGAAAATCGGGTTGGCTTTTTAGCTGTTGCGGTGTCCGTAGAACAGGACAGTTCAATTGCATAAATTACGTTAGCTTTCGAAGTGACATTATACGTGTGTAAAAACGCAACACAATAACTTTTTTACAGGATAATTGCTGCTGCTAATCAGGCTGTTCAGTGTCTTTTTATAATATAAATTAACCTATTCCCTACGCATTAGCGTTTACTATAGGTCAGTCAATAAAACAGTGACTTCATGAATGGCTCATGTTAAGGACAAGCCTTCAGTTCACTCTTCGTAATTCTTAGACACAATTATTCATGTAATACTTTTCAGTTAAGCATAGAAGGACACTTCTTGCCATGTAATCCATCCTAGTCAAACTGCTTACTTAAATTTTCACAGACGCTGAACGTTCTATGGAGTGTTTAACGAACGAGGCTAACCGGATACCTCAGGAATGTCAGTCTCGGTCATTAGAGTCCCTTCCAATGGAGTCTGATTCTACCAAGGGTTCGGAGTTTGCAGGTTGCGCTGACATGGTGTACGAGACGTGTGAAGTAAGTGGTTCTCGTTCCAATAGAAATGCACCTTTGCAGCCTATGGAAGAAATACGCTTTCCGCCTGCGTTGTCCTCTCGCAGGAGCTTACCGATACAACATTGTCGAAAACTTGCAGAGTTGGCCTGTTACATGACATCCCAAGGTAAATCCGGCCCTACTTTTATCGCATGTATTAACTTATGCTTTACTGCTTTAAGTAAGTCTTGCTATCATGTTGAATTCAGTTCGAAGGCATTAACGCACTGTATTTTAAGTTTGGACCGAAATCCAGCCTAATCAGCCAACCACTGACTCAAGTAGATATGGATAAGAGAGTAACTATAAGAATAAAAGGGCGAGCAGGCAGCAACTGTGATCTTTAGTTTCTTCGATATACCCTCGAACTCGGTATTCTGTATCCCAGTATAATAAGCATATCTCCACTCTACCTTTGATTTCTTCTCTCACGATCGCAATATAATAGCACTGCATTGTCAATCATATTACTCATATTTTCCTCGGAAACCGGAAAACGTTCACCGGAGAAAACTTTGATAAGAAACCCGATTTTCTTTTGTGTCGTCCAAGGTTCCTCAAGATGTGAGACTCAAAGATTTGTGAATTAATGTAATAATACCAAAGGTCCACGGTAAGGACCATAGGATGCGAATGTAACAATGTCCGCAGTGTGTCCCAGTTAAGTTTGACTAATTTTGCTGCTCAGTTCTTATAAACAATTCCGTTCGGGTAAATCAGGATACGCCTAGATGCCGTTGCTTCCTCTGTTTATTCATTGCCATTGTGTCGTATCGCATAACTGTTCTTGGAATCGTCAAGAAATATCGACTTAACACAAAATGGAACAGCGCACCAGCACCAAGTTTGTGGATGACGCCGTTGGAATTACTCCCATATGTGTCTGTTGCTGGATAGTTTCTTTGTTCAATCGCCGAATACGAGGCGGCCTGAAGAGCGCCTAGATTTTTCTGCACGATCCACGTCTTATGTGTCGCTTTTTACTACAACTCAGCAATAATACAAAACTGAGATGTCATTGCATGAAATTAGATAAAGAGTACACCCATCGGAAGTGCAGCAGAAATTTGTTTTCTATTGGTGTATGTCACCAGTGAAATTCTGTCCCAGGATGGGTCGTTTCTGTGCCAACACTAGCCATATGTAAAAGGCGCTTGGATAATGTAATCATTCACTTATATTGTATTACTTAGCACTATCTATCCATTCTACGCTTAGAATGTGCTTTGGATTTATTAACTGTCAACTAATGGTGCAGTGAAACCATACGGAGCAAAGGACTACAGCATAACAAGTGATAAGCTTTTCTTTTTTTGCTTAAAGTACTGTTTTTATAACCTTTCGATAACCCCACGTGACCACTCAACGGAATTTGCAAGACAATACTTCTTAGCCCGTGTGAACTCATTGTTCATTGAAGGTAGATTACATAGACACTTAAAGCCTGAGTTACTATAGACGAAGTGGCAGCTAAAGCGTAAGCGTTTCCCGGTTAGCATGTGAAACATTTAAGGTTACAGCAATGTGATATACGCACACGGAATCTACGTCGTGCAACGACAGCCGCTGATAATTCAGATGTAAGAGAACGCATACGTATGCTGTGAAATAGCGTCACTCTTCATGATGTGCTGGGCTCGATTCCCCCGGTAAATCTGAATACAAGCTGTTAATAAGCTAACTTTTGAAATACCCTCATTATTAGTGTGGATTGCCACATGCAAGAACCTTGTGGACTTGGGTTTACTTTGAAGTAAGCCCCTGCTCTTCTGTCACTGGAGTGGACAGTTTCGGAGCTGCTGTCTCTCTCCCAACATTGCACTCCACGACCGACCGGTTTCATCCTGAATTGGACAACCTACCTTGAGGTAACTTGAGCTGTGAGCGGAACCTGGCACACAGTGTTTGACGGCTTACATCTGGTCATTGATCCCTCACGAGTACTGATTGCAGGTGGTCGGTTTCGGAGTACTAGCCGTGTGTATCTAACATTGATTACGCTTGTTTATTCAAAGCGACGTTGGAAACAAAAAGGTAAATCAATCATCAGGAGCATCTAATTGGAATTGGCTTCTTATCGTAACTAAGCTCAGTCAGATGACCGTCACTTTCGGGAACGTATTGAGTGGTCGTTTGATCGTTTCGGGAATCAACAGCAGGGAGTCTATGGACGTGTGAAGACCGTGTAAGTGAGTTAGCAGGACTGCGTCAACTGTATACCGACTTAATCTCCCTAATACACCCTTGTTATTAATTAGCTAGCCACTTGCACACCAAAAACAGCCAACGTACCAAAATACGAAGCTGAACGCATGCAGTTGCTACAACTGCCAAGTGTCTGTGCTTCGTGTTATCATCATGAACTAAGGTGCCGTCATCAGTCCTTAGTGCATTATCTCTAATTCAACCAATATTTCGAACAGCTCACATCAGAAAAGTTTGCGGACCCCAAATTTTCTGCAGATAGTATTTTAAATCTTTTCTACCATAAGTCCATTGGTCCGAATGTGACAGGATGTATACACTTAAACAGTCACTTTGTTCGTGTATCCTTCAGGTTGCGACTGGAACCACGTGGAAACGATTCAAATGTCATATCAACCCGCTATCCTGTGAGTCCTTTGCTCATGAGCCATTGGATATCCTTAAGTAAGACAATTAAAAATACCATGCTCGACATGAATTGCTAATTTATTACATAATAACTTCAAAATTATGTTATTTCTTCCATTGAGCACACAAATCGAAACTGCTCAATATCTCTAATACTTACGAAGGATTTTGAGATGAATATAGTCAAACGATCGACTCGACAAGTTGAGCTTACGTGTCTGGAGAAAAGCATGAGTACGCTTCCATGAACTGGGCTCCGTTTACTAAAATTGAGTTGCACCTAAATCGTCTGTTGTAAGCACATTGAATATCGCCGTGACTTCGATTCAATTCACTGTGCAAATTATCCTAAGTGAGGACACAAAAGTACCGCCACACTCAAAATTCGGGGACAAATAAACGAAGATTTTGTATTATTTTTGCCAAAGCATGGAACTTGCGTACATAATGAAATGAAGCCTTGCGTACAAAGCTTCCAGAAACCGTCTAGACATATACGCTGATTTATTTATCTACATACGAATTGCGGTGAAAAGGGAATGAGGCATATTTGGAACGTAGGTATCTCGATTATTACTTTCTGTGCTTTAAAGTGCTTATGAGTGGAACGACTTGTGGACAACAAGTATTGCGAATGTCAGCAGCATCATCATCAACAGTAGTAAATCATTCATTTGAACTGATGCTTCGCTGCCATTCAACCATACAACCATGGATCAAAGAATAATAAGGGGAGTGAAGGGGAAGTTACCGGAAAATCTTAATGCATGCAGCAAACATTCAGGGTATTGGCGCCTACACTTTCTCAACAACATACCGTCCCAGACACCGGACTATCGTGCGAAGACAAGGCAGCAACGGCCAGAAAGCCTCGTTGTGGCTTTCACTTCCCCGCTCCATAATCTGCCATGACCCCACAGATATCTTAGCACCAAAAACACTTTAAACAGGCAGTCCGACTAGGAGACAGCAACGGTCGCGTCACTGGTTTCGGCTGCACGCCATGTCCTGTAAAGTATAAAGCCAACTCCCGGGCACATCACGTGAACCTCATTTCCCACTGCCAAGTCAAAGTTGGTGCACCTCGAGCCCTGTGTCAATCTACACCTGGCAGACTAAACAAATCCCTCCTCTGTAAGCGGTCACCGGACATACGTACTACGTGCCCAAACCAAAGTAACTTATTCAGTGCTACCTGTTGTTCCAATTAACTAACCTGGTTATCACTGCCTAGTACTCGACTACACACATCATCGTTGCGAACAGACTGGGACCATCCGAAAAATAATGCTCCGAAAGCGGCAATAGTCAAAGACTTGAAGACGCCTCAGTCTTCAGACCGAAGGGGCCAAGTCTCACTACTGAAGAGTAGGATGGCTGTCACCACGACGTTGTTCACACTGCTTCACAGACCTAGGGAAACTCCCCTCTGTATCCAAAGATGACGCAGGTTCAGAAAGGCAGTTATGGCTTTTACAATGCTTGAATTGTCTTCAGATTCTTTGTGCTCATCGTTGCTGATGCAGCAGCCAAGATAGGTGTGTCTATCATCGAGTTCCTAGACATCAGGGGTCAAGAAGGCATCAAGTGGCTGGTGGTCCCGAAGCAACACTTTGCGCTTTGCTGCGCAGCGCATAGCAAAATATTGGACCACTCTATACCATTTCCGAGTCATCTTAAGCCATGCAGGTAGAAACAAGATTACTAGGTAGAAACTTCATCTGGTACACTAACAAATTACTCCTTCCGATGAACTAAGTTGACTCTGGCGACTGTGACATCCGCACACCGTCGTGTGGCAGGTTCCTTGACCAAGTGCTGTCGGCCAATAACATGTCGAATGCATAGTAGACATAGCAACGTGTACGCACGTATAGTAAATTGGGGGTAGGGGAAAAACTAGAGCCCGGAGTTGCTCGTGTGCGACTTGGTACATGGGCAGTGAAGGAATAAATGGGGGCGGATAGGGGTAGTAATTCGTTAATATCTGAGGACACCAACGGCAGGATAAGAGGAAACGGGGTCAATGTAAGATAAGAAATTAAGCGTCTTAACAAAAAAATTATAACGAAGCCTCATATGCAATAGGGACACTGGCTAATCGCATACCGAAATGGCCGACAATCAGTGTCATTAAGATAAAACCCAGGCGCTTG